TGGTGTTCGCTGGCTAAATTGGTTAACGTGGTTGTAGGAGGGGTGGTAAATGCGTGCACACGTACGACAACGCTATGCGAAAGGGCGGTGTTATTTATTGCGACCGAACTTTGAGCACGATGGCTTTTTGGTCGGTAAAGTGAAGAGGAGTGGATCGGGTTGCAGCGGTCGTAGGTCGAAATTTGCAAAGACGTGGTCGATGCAGGTTCCGCGAATGGTGGTCGGCTGGTGGTGTTTGCAGTCGTCGTGCGTTGCGCGTTTCAGCGAGTGTCGCGACGCCATGTATTCGACTATCCAATCGTCCTTGATGACTCGCGAGCTCTTCTCCGTGCTGCCTTGTCTTCGGACGACGACTTGGTTGCGGTTCCGCCAACACTTTGGCCGGCGCTGGTCGAAGGGACGTCGATCATTGCGACCTCGGACGTCGACGCGCCGTACAAACCAACCGACGAGCGGCAACTGAGCGAGCGAGCACCGACCTGGAGTATATATACAGCGCGACGGCGCATGCACTGTCAGCTGTCGAATGTTCGAGAAGGGGGAGAAGCGCAGCGGCGCATGCGCGCGCGTCAGCTGCCGATGTTCTCGAAGCGCGACGGCACATGCGCGCGCGTCAGCTGCCGATGTTCTCGAAGCGTGACGGCGCATGCGCGCTACATTATACAGCTAGCAAATGTTCGTGAAGAGGAGAAGCGCACGCGGTGTGTAGAGGAGGAAGGGTGCACAGATGGTGGAGGAGTGAAACGCGCGCGGTGTGTAGAGGAGGAAGGGATGCACAGATGGTGGAAGAAGGAGGAGGAAGCTTGCGGACGGCGCCGCACTACAAGCCTCGAGTATTAGATGCTCCGCATCTAAAAGCGAGACCTCTATAGTCTCATGCCCGGCGCGACCATGGTGGAGGAGTGAAACGCGCGCGGTGTGTAGAGGAGGAAGGGATGCACAGATGGTGGAAGAAGGAGGAGGAAGCTTGCGGACGGTGTAGAGGAGGAAGGGATGCACAGATGGTGGAAGAAGGAGGAGGAAGCTTGCGGACGGCGCCGCACTACAAGCCTCGAGTATTAGATGCTCCGCATCTAAAAGCGAGACCTCTATAGTCTCACGCCCGGCGCGACCGGCGCGACCAGCGTCCATTGCTGCGGCCCGATGGCAACCGGCACGAAATGTGACATGCTGCATTTCGCGCCGATGCGTTTTATCCAGACAGCACTGCGTCCGCCTCTCTTCGGTACGAAGGGACGCCGGACGCGCCGAAACACGCAGGCGTCAAAGCAATGCAGCGCGGCGCTCGCCTGCGAGTATATGGCAGGACAGGCGCCTGGCGTGGCCACGCCGGAGTGACGGGACTAAACGAACGCCGGCGCGCACGCGCGCCGTATCACGACGAAGTGTATTGGCCCCTTGAGTGTGGCATGTAGTCATGTTTTTACGGGACACGCATCTCATGGTTATCATGTTTGCACCAGTATCATACCTTCGTGATCCATTCACGTCCCGTAATACCAAATTCGGTATAAGTGAAGCTAGCGAAACGGCCACCAGCGCGTCAAGAGCGTGGCATGTAGTGATTTTGTTGCATGAGAAGGCATCTCATGTTTATCACGTTTGCAGCAGTCACATACGTTCTTCATTTATTCACGTACCGTAATACCTAACTTTGTATGTGTGACGCTATCGGAATGGCCACGAGCGCATCATGAGCGTGGCATTTAGGCATGTTGTTACATGACACCCTTTTCATAATCTTTATATTAGGGTCTGTCGCTTGTGTTCGCCATGCTGTCATGTCATACCGTACCAGTTTTGCAACATATAATGTGAATAAAACCTCCGCAAGAGCAGCAAGGCCACGACGTATAAATCTCGACGTTTACGACGTACATGTCATTTTAGGTTACGACTAGTAAGTTATGTTCGTCATACAGTCTCGTTATATCATACCAAGTTTGGTATCGATACCATTATCCAAGCGTCAAGGAGAGCTAAATGTCTTAGGTGGATAGATAGATAGATAGATAGATAGATAGATAGATAGATAGATAGATAGATAGATAGATAGATAGATAGATAGATAGATAGATAGATAGATAGATAGATAGATAGATAGATAGATAGATAGATAGATAGATAGATAGATAGATAGATAGATAGATAGATAGATAGATAGATAGATAGATAGATAGATAGATAGATAGATAGATAGATAGATAGATAGATAGATAGATAGATAGATAGATAGATAGATAGATAGATAGATAGATAGATAGATAGATAGATAGATAGATAGATAGATAGATAGATAGATAGATAGATAGATAGATAGATAGATAGATACGCTTAAAGTCAGAGAAGTTCGCTAAGAAATGCTTCGCATTTAAAAAGTGCGCGCCGGCATATATACGACATGCTGGAGTTTTGCGAGCGTTAAGAGCTCCGCTGTTAAACGAAAACACAACACAGAATTCCAAGAATGACACGCGAGTAACTTTATGTGTATGTATTTGAGATCACGATTGTCTGTCGTACGGACCCGACTTTAATTAGAAGGTGTGGCTACATATATAATGGTGTGCTTTTCTCCCCCGACGTACAGGTGCCTCGGGTGGAATCGGCGAAAGCACGGCTAAGCATTTCGCCTCGCTTCGCTGCTGGCTATCGCTAACTGGGCGTAACACCACTAATCTAGACAAGGTGGCCGAGGCCTGCTGTGCACTAGGACTTCCGCGAGATAAGGCAAGTGTAAGCCATGAAGTCCTTGTGTTTTCTTCATTGGGTGTCTCGTGTTCTTGCGCCATTCTTAACCATCACTTCCTCCAACTATCAGTAAATAAACGCCGACTTATGAAAGTGCGCGAGACACAAATGGAGGAGGCATCGATAATACAAGGCAACGGAGATATGAAAACGACTATATGCTTATCTCAGGAAAATTGCGTACTGTTATAGCAGCGTTTACAGAATACACATCTATAGTGTCACGGCTATGACAACTACTGCTCCCCCGCTGCGGTCGAGTAGTTCAAGTGCCAAGAACTGTTCCTGTAATGAGAACCTAAGTACGTGCGGTTACTGTGAAATAAGCGTTCTTTGACAGCTTGCCATTTCGCGAAAAACTTCCGCTTCCTCCGCCTCTTGGTACACCGCTCCAACCCGTATGCAGCCGACATGGGCTGCAACCTTGTGGACTGATGAGAAGCTCCGAAAAGACTCTGCCAAATAAATATCGCCGTTGCTTTCAGCTCAAGTTGAATGCAACCCAAGAATGTCCTCCGTTCCTTTCGCCCTTTGTTTTTCATGTGAGAACAAACCGAAAATAATGCCAGGTTCAGTTCCTGCCAGAGGTAAGCTATCGTGTCGTCCACGTAACTTTCTTCGCAATTATACCATAATATTATTAGCATCTCCTGTACTTTTCTTGGCATTATACTCTCTTTGTTTTCTTTATTATTGTGTCTAACAAAAAAAACTAGCCTTCAAAACTCCTCTTCTTTTCTGGTTCTACCATAACAGCTTCACAGTGCTAGCAGTTTCATGGACTACACCACTTGCGTATTTCTTTTTTTTCTACCCTTACATGACAGGAAAAAAGATATTGGAAATATTGAGTGGAGTCTAAAATATGGCAGTATGTCTGTCTTTATTTTGTTTCTCTAAATTCTGCCTGGCGCTTGCAGCATGCCACATTCGTTAATATTTCTTTCTGGGGAGTGCGAGGAACTGCCGCCAGGGGCGTGTGTTTTGGCAATATTTATCCGGACCATTAGATGCCTGAGAAGTTGGAACATGTGACTCATGCGAAAAATTATAATTCGAGCACTCTTCAGATTTTGCAATGCTGCGTAATCGCAGCGGCAGTTCTTTTTGTGAGCCTGCTGGTAGGCGAGAAACGTTCAGAATTCTCTGCAGGTGCACACAACTGGAATCATACGTCCTAATGCTTCAATTTATTCTCAAGTGCTCTGTAGCAGACGGCATTGCTACAGTTTTCGAGAAACAAATCTGCATGGAGACAGCGTTTCAACAAGTAAGAGTGCATAAATGGGGAGGAAGAAACACAAAAAGCATGGGACTGACTAAAAATATCCCTGACTTCCAACTACCATCTACAACAATCAACATAAAATTTAAAACAAAACGAGAACAAGCCACAGACGTAGTGGCAGTAGAAGCCTGTGCACACGAAAAAGAATTTGTCATATGCAACATTCTTTTTCATGCTCTTTGTAACAAAATCTTGCTGGAAATCAGCGGCAGTTCTCGTAAGTTTCTTCATTTTCGTGTTCCTTCTGCACTAATTATGCAATGACGGAATGCCACCTATAGTCTGGTCCCTCACCTTGCTTCAGCAATAATACGAACGCTTGACTTGAGCTTGCATATCTTTTATTCGAACTATAACCATAAGTCTTAGGCCTTGCATCTTCGGGCAATGGTGAACGCGCACTTGCTAGCCAAGGGCCACCTATTTCTTTTGAAATCTAGATTACTCACGAGAATTGTGCGACGGTCTAAAAAACGTACCAACCAGACTTGGCGTAAATGTCAGCTTTAACAACACCAAGTGCTCTTTTTTTTCTGTTTAAGGCAGCAGGCAAAAAAAAGAAAGAATATAACCTGATGTTTCGGACATCTGAGCTGTTTCGCTTATGTGTAGTTCAGGCCTGCTTGATATATTTCTAAAGCACGCCACCCATGCGTATTTGAAACTTGAATGTTGCGATGATGGCCATCGTTCCCGTCTTGGCAAATTTCGCTCCTTACTGAAGTGAAATTTATAATTTCACAGAAGTACATACCCTCGCTTAAAATCATGTTTTAGACTGATTTTAAGAAACGCCTGTTTTGCTTAAGCTGCAATTAGTTTTTTTTGCTTACTTTGAACTGTATTTAAATAGTCAGATTTACTTGGCGAAAATTTACTTGGCGAAATTCAAAATTGTTTAGAAGTTGAGGAAGTAATCTTCGTGGTAACAATAACTGGCTTATTAATCCTTTCCAGGTGCTCGTCATACCGGGTGACGTGTCAGTGGCAACAGACGTTGCAGAAGTTGTGCAAAAAACAGTGAAGCACTTTGGAAGACTCGATATCCTCGTGAGTCTAAGTGCCACACAAACAATGCTTTCTTTCCAAACTTATTACAACGTGCAAAGGTGAACACTCAGGCTGATGTCAAAAATAAGTTTGATAAACGAAGTTTTGTAATAATTCGTAGTCATTGAATATTTTTGTACAGCGCAACTTTAGACAGTTTAAATATAGCGTAGGTAGAGCTTTGCGTTAGTGTTTGTCAGTAGTGTACAAGCGCGTACGTGCGCTAGGCTCTTCTGGGGTCCCACTAAGCAGCAATAATAGCGGAGCGGCTGCAAAAAAAAAAAGTCATCTTCTCATGTTCTATTTTGACATTGTCAAGTATGAGTAGTCTAACTTTCAAACAAGTGAAGTCTTGTTCACACAAACAAGCGAAAAACAAATGGAAACGCAAACATTCTTATCAGGGCGTAAAGTATTTGCTTCTGTTTTGTCTAGAATGAATAAATTATAGGTCATTGTGAAGTTCAATGAGTCTAGAATGGCGTCACTTAGATGTTACATGGTGTTCTTGTGAAATTGAGTGAGCGTGTGAGCTACCCCGCAAATGTAAAAACAATATTGGTTAGCCTAAACGCACCAGGTTTGCCGTGATGGCTAGTTCCTCAACGAGCATAATTACTCTCTGTAAAAATACTCCGTGTGTAGACCAACACTGATAGCAAGGCTTCATAGAGAGTGATTCTCGGTACTAACTTAAATATCAACCTATCGGCACGGTATACTATGTCCATTGTCCATTGTCACCAATGCTACGGCGTGCAAAGGAAGGGAGAACGAGGACCCACAGCAAAAAACACAACACACTCTACATAAGGCTTACTTGACGTCTAGTGGACGTCTCTAGTTGACGTCTTCGGCGAAAAAGAAACCCATAAGGATGTCAGCTACGGCTCTTATAACGAACAGTAGTGCCGCAACAATTTAACTACCATATCTTCCCGCGTCTCCCGCGGCAATACATTTTCACTTCAATACAAATGACGGTTTAGCACACGGTCGCGGGTTCGATTCTCGGCTGCGGCGGCTGCATTTCCGATGGAGGCGGAAATGTTGTAGGCCCGTGTGCTCAGATTTCGGCGCACGTTAAAGAACCCAAGGTGGTCGAAATTTCCGGAGCCCTCCACTACGGCGTCTCTCATAATCATATAGTGGTTTTGGGACGTTAAACCCCACAAATCAATCAAATTGGTTAAGCACACGATGTGCTCAGCTGGAAGAAAGCCGTCCTAAATTCTGGAGCTTAACTGCACTCAAACGATGTGAACGACCACTGCCCTATTTGTTTGAAAAAGATTGGCGATTTAGAGTATTTAGTTACTCTACTACGGGAGAGCACTAAGCCGTCCCATGTCGACTGAAGCGTGTCTTCCATCCATCGCAAGTCAAGGTCCGCCATTTTAGACACACAGTGTGACCCTTTGCACCGAAGCCCCTTCAATGCCGGAAATGTTATAGATTGGGACATGTCAGTGCTGTTTGTACAAACCTGGCTGTGTGCTCGCTATGCTCAGAATCACATAGCGCAGACGCTTGCCAGGCAGAACTTCGAAAATGTCGAAACTGTCATGGCCCCCACGACGCATCGTCAAAAGATTGCCCAATCATGAAAAACGAAATGCAAGTGTTGAGGCAAATGGTCCGGGATGGCTTAACTCACAGGGAGGCCGCTGCCCAAGTACGACGCCGGCGATCTCGTCGCCGGAGGCCCCTGAGGAGACCCAGTGCTGAAGCAAGGATTGAACCTCACCAAATGACCGCCCGCATACCACCTCAAGCGTCCAGACACGCCGACAACAAATCCTCCAAGCAAGACAAGAGCATCGCCGGCTCGCCTGAAGCATGGCCAGCGCTGCCAACGATAGACCCACCGTTTGAGCCACCGCATCGCTCGTCTACAATCACTTCGGAACGAGAATGCGGTGATAGTCGCGACAAAGAAATCATAGCCGTGGTAAAGGCCCTTATGAATACCATTCGTATGCTCCTCACTAGCATTGACAGCCCGGCTGCAAAGAGTGCACTTCAGTTAGTGGATGCGCTGAATCCGACGCTATCAAGTCTGGAAAGGCACCAGGGCTCTGTCTCTCCAAGCCTTTCGTAAAGAGGTCAAAGGAGCTTCGATATTTCAGTGGAATGCCTGAGGCCTCAAGCCGCGCATTTCTGATATCCGACAATTTGTGTTTAAAAACCAGTTTCCAATTATTGTTGTCTGTGAGCCAAGGCTACACAATGTAATACGACTATCCAGGTACGAAGCCTTCAAGTCCGCTACCTGCAACGAACAGAGTAAAGTCATTGTATATATCAGATGCGACCTTACCTATATCGAGCACCGTGTAGCACCTCACGATGACAACCAGTATGTCTGCTTGACAGTTAAACGTAGAGACCTCAATTTCACGCTTGTAGTCGCATATATATCACCTTCAAACCGTTTTGAACCTGAAAAACTACGTGCACTGTTAACAGCCACACCTGGACCATGGATCATCACCGGAGATTTCAACGCTCACCACCCACTATGGGGAAGTCAGAAGACAGACAGTCGCGGAAGGCAAGTATTCTCTTTTGCTCTGGAGCAGCAGCTGCTTTGTGTAAACGACGGAAGCCCAACGTTTCTACGGGGAACGACATACAGCCGCTGCCTTGACTTAACATTTGTGTCACGAAGCCTAAATGGAAAGGTCAAGTGGTTCGCAGACTATGAAACTCATGGAAGCGACCACATACCAACTTATTTGAAGATCAAGGGCCTGGAAAAATCGCCAAACTACGACACTTCGACTGGCATCGACTGGACAAAGTTCAGGCTACTGACGGAAAAGAGGTGTCAAGAAAATAAAGCGCCTCCTCTTGACACCCTCGAGGATATGATTAGAGGTGCTACTCAAGAAGCAACCTATCATATTCAACATACTTCAGAGTATTGTCAACATCAAGCGGAATTGGAACGGCTCAGAGCAATCCGTCGTCGCGCAGAAAGAATGTATAGGCGCACTAAGTCCATTCACGACTTGAGGCAGGCAAGGCGTCTACAGAAAAAAATTCAGCGGCGAATCATTTCACTTCAATCCTTTCGCTGGAAACATCTGTGTGAATCTTTGGATCCACACAAGCCTTTGACGCAGACATGAAGGATTGTCCGTGGCCTACGCACATCGCCACATCAACATCGCCCCTTCAAGTGTCTTTCTCTCCACCAAGGCCGCACCGAAATTGAAGTAGCAGAAGATTTCTGCCTGAAAGTTGCCGGTCATGCGTCCGCGTGCACCACGCGCCACCTAGGAAACGCTCCAGTTTCCAGAGATTCAAGAATGGACACCTTTTTCTCTCTTGAGGAACTACAAGCGGCCTTAACGGCATGCAAACGATCTTCATCGCCTGGTCCGGATGGGATCACGTACATGGCTCTTTGCAACCTCGGAGAAGCAGCTCGACGGGCCCTTCTATTCGTGTACAACGACTCGTGGAGCAGCGGGTTTATCCCTCATTCATGGAAATCCAGCCGCCTCGTCCCCGTGCCTAAACCAGGTAAATCTCCTCTGAACTTGACCTCTTATCGCCCCATCGCGCTTACCAGCTGTTTCGGGAAAGTGATGGAGAGGATGATTTTGACTCGCCTAGAGTGGTACTTGGAGCACCACGAGGCATACCCTCATGCTATGACGGGGTTTCGGCGTGAACGGTCCGCAATTGATAACGTTATAGACCTGGTCTCATCTATTCAGCATCAAAAAAGACTGAAACGTTTATCTGTGGCGTTGTTCTTGGACATGAAAGGTGCATACGATAACGTATCACATGAAGCCATTCTGGATGTCATGGAAAATGTTGGATTAGGGGGTCGGGTTTACCAATGGATCCACAGCTATCTGAAAGGCAGAACTTTCTTTGTACAGATGGAGAATGGCACAACAATGCACCATTGCAACCGTCGAGGTGTGCCTCAAGGCGGTGTACTTAGCCCCACACTTTTCAATCTAGCGCTACTCGGCCTTGTTGACGCACTTCCAGAATCTGTCCATCTATCAATATATGCAGATGACATCTGCATCTGGGCATCAAGCATAACACGCCTTCATTTGCGTGCCTGGCTTCAGAGAGTGGCTACAATAGCGACAAAGTACCTGGAAGAACGGGGACTAGAGCTGTCATCAGAGAAATGCTCGCTTATAGCATTCACGCATAAGGCTATGAGCCCATATGTTATTAAAATCAACGGACACACGATCAACTACGTGAAGACCCACCGATTCCTCGGAGTCATAGTTGATCGCGACCTCTCCTGGAGCCCTCACATCGCCCACATGAAAACTAAACTCACCATGATCACCCACTTACTGAGGTTTCTTGCTGGAAAAACGTGGGGTGCATCGGTACGAGCAATGCTCCAACTCTACACTGTTCTATTCCTCGGTTATATGCGATACAGCTTACCCGTGCTTTGCGGGATCCGAAGAACAAACTTGCGCGTCCTCCAGTCGATCCAAGCCCAAGCCTTCAGAATATGCCTTGGTCTCCCGAGATGCGCATCTACAGCAGCGACAGTCATCATTGCACGTGATTATCCAGTCAACGCATACATCCGCGTAGACGCTTTGAGAATGCACATAAGACATTCCGCTCGGCTTCCATCTCATCACCTCGCCTCACTCCGAACTTCCAGGCCCCACTCAGCGTTCAGCGCAACTGTAGCTCAGCATTGCGCAGTGCTTCCAATGTACTTCACGCATGCAGCACAGCCGCCGATACCATTACGGTGCCTTCACCCGCTCAAAGCCCTTCTTACAATTCCTGGCATCCAAAATAAGAAAACGTCGTCGCATCTAGCCCTGAAACAGGCCACATTACTTTTCCTGCAAGGGAAGCACAACGGACGCCTTCACATTTACACGGATGGGTCGGTGTCTTCAGTAAGCTCTGCAGGGGCGGTGGTTATTCCCGCGAGGCACATCACAATTAAATTCATGACATCGCATTTGACGTCGTCGCAGAACTTG